ATATATATTTTATATACGCATATATAAATCTGACTCTGCATCCATGCATTTCTCCCTCACACATTAGAGGCAATCATGTCTGGCATGTGATTCCATTCCTCTTCTCTTCTGATTAGGACCTCAGTAATCCCATCTGCATTCTATTTTATGACTCCTTATCATTACTTTAATATACTGACACTTCTCCTACCATAAAGGAAAACAAAACAAAATAAGAAACTGGTCCTAAATCCCATCCCATAGCTATGGTTTCTTCTGCCATCTTCGCCAAAAGTTCCATGTTCTGCGCTTGGAGCATTCATTTCCTCACTTCTACTCCTTTCCCCATTCCAAAGACACCTGTCACTTCCTCTCTCAAAAATTGTGTATTTTAGTTTCCTATTTGACTGCTCAGTGGCATTTGATACCGTTAGCCATTCTTTCTCTTGAAACATTCTTTTTCAATGTCTAGAACACTCTTCTGGTTTTATCTCTGTGATCATTCCTCTTCTGTAAGCTGCTCTTTCTGTTTTTGCCCTGCCCTGCCTCCTCTTCACCTTAGTCTATATATACTGATCATCTTCTGTATATTGAGGATTCCTCACTTTATAACCTAGATCGTGCTCACGTTTAAAATTTGCATATCCAGTCAGAATGCCCAGTAGGAACTTTAAGCTCAATGGGCTCCAAATCAAAATAACTTCCCCCCTCAAAACTGCAGCTACCCTTGTGCTTACTGTACCAGTGAACAGTACTATCCTCCATCCAGTTGCTCAAATAGAAAACCTGACTTCTCTCCCTTCTACCATATGCAATTAATTTCCAAGCCCTCTCATATCTCTCCCTTTTTCCCACACCAGAGCTCCTATCCTAGCAGAGCTCTAGCATTGCTCACCTCTTAGAGGGTCTCCTTACCCTCTTTGAACCCCCTTCAATCCATCTGAATAGTTTTATTCCCATCTCCCACCTTCTCCCCTTAGATTGATCATGACATAACCCCACTTAAAATTCCTCAGCATTCATAGATTAAGTCTGACTCCTTTAATAAGTCTTTAAAAATGACCTTCACCTACTGGTTTAGTCTTGTCTTCCATTTACACAACAGGATAAACGTTCCATGTAAATCTTGGCCAACCTCTGAAACTTCACAAAAAGGGATGGACAATACTCCCACTAAGCCACCTACCTTCCACTTGATCTCATTTAGACATCATTTCCTCAGGAAGGCTATGTGGGATCCCCACCCCTACTTCAGAGTAGGTGGCGTTTTTGTACTTCTAGTATAATTCGCACACTGTATTGTATAATTGTTTTCTTCTAAAATACAGACTTCATGAGGATATGGACCATTTATACCTTATCACTGTAAACATGTTTAGTGCAGTGCCTGGCACTCCCATTTAATTCATCGTTGATAGGAATTGAACTAATCACCTTTGTTTTCATCTCTATTCTTGTCTGTGTGATCTGGGAGCATTTCTGAACCTTGTCTTCTACTGACTCAAATTTGTTACCATTTCTGTTCATTATCAAATTTAATGCATCTAATCTTATTACTTTTTAAAATTGTATGTTAATTTCATTTTTTTGTCCATTTTTTATAATTTTTTTAGTGCTCTATAATACCTTCTGCTATGGCAGGAAATCTTTTTCAAAGCAAAGTTAATTAGCCAAGTCATCAGGACACTTTTTTTTGTTTTCGGTACTGCAATTAGTATTCCTAAATTCTACATTTTTCTTTCTTTGCTCTTATCTATGAAGACTTGGTTCAAATTTGGACAAAAGGGTAAGATTAGATACTAGAGGATTGTTTGGTTATGTCCCAGACTGGAAAAGGACTACACCTGAATCCTTTACAAAAGAACTGAAGGCGAAAGGCAAGAGACAGGAGAGGTGAAAAGGAAGTAGGAAGTTCTCATAACAGGAATGACAAACTTTTTCATCACTTTCCACTGTAGATGCATGCAAACTTCCCTGATACCAAGAAAATAAAAAGTAGGAACACCACATTATGTGAAAGATTTCTACCAATATGTTTTCTATTTAAAAAGTGATCAAAACAAATGCCACTCTTGGCCTTCTCTTAGAAACAAATGATTCTGAGGTGTTAGAACAAATGCATTCCAGTGTTCTAGAAGTATTAAGGATGCTGGCTGTTGCAAAGTAAAAGGGAAAAGATTACATAGTTCTATTACATTTTAGAATGTGATCACTTGTCTTGTTTTACTATAATTGCATAGACAGTGCTCTTTTCAACCTTTCTTTTATTCTTCTAAGGGGAATACAGTGTGAGTGTACATCTGTGCGCATGCTGGGTATATGAAAGGCTTTCCACTGTGCACTTCTATTGCCACTTTGGCCATAATTTTTTAGCAGTTAATTGTGTTACTGTTACTAAGCTGGTCCAGAAATGCACTGCCCCAAATCTGCTCTTTTTGATAGCAGCAAATGATTAAGTTGCTAGTTGAAATTAAGAAGGGGTAAAGAGGACTAGGGAACCTGGGTGATCTTTAAATACTACATTAAAATTATGTGACATTAGCATAAGTCATTCAGTATTGATAATATGCATATTTAAAGTATATACATGTGTAATACCTTACAGTTAAGGAATGAGTCTTTAGTAGGTTCCAAAAAATACTAGATTCCCTATGTAAAAAAGATAACTACTCTGCATAATTTAAAAAGTTACTATATCACGTACATGGCTCTTTTGTAAAGCATCACAGTAATCAAAAAAAGTTTATATTTTCAAATAAAAACAAAACAATTAATTCTGCGTAAGTAGTAACAACTTTATTTTAACGCAACGTGCTGAAACCTAGAAAATATTTTCAGCAACAAGATACCAAAAGTATGTATCTCATCGTTAACATGAGCTGATTAAAAATTAGGCTGAAAATGTCAATATTATCTTTATACATTTGAAACTTGAAAATCAGTTTCCCCCAGAACTAATTTTTAAATAATTTTAGCAGAATTTTATTTTCAAAAGTGGGACTTGCTTAAGTTACATCTTCGTTCTAAAAAGAAAATAAATGTAAAATTGAGTTACAATATACAATGATAAATTCTAACAGAAAAATTTATATATAAGAATTCCTTTTCAAACATAAAGTCCACATACTGTAAGCAGAAGACACAGTGTGGTGATTTAATTCCTAGTGAAGAGGAAGTCTTGCATATGGTAGGCACTCAATATTTGTTCAACTGAACCTAAAATTTACATCATTCCATGAACACTTAGAGCTCATAACCTGTATAAAAGAGGTTTGCAAAATATTATTTGTGTGAAAGTGCTGTCTTTATAATATGAACACTAAAACCTACCCACCCATCTTATTTTGCAAGAATATATTGAATATTTTAATTTTATCCACCAAAAGAGCATGAAAGTCCAACTTGAAATAATTCACCACTTGAAGTATACTTGGCCATGAGACAAGCTTGTGAGTTGGATTTCAACAACTTAACTGAAGTCCCTAGTGTTCTATTTTAGTAACAGTGGGTAGCATCTATGATCCATATTTTTATTAAAAATTCTGCTTAGGTTCTAAATTTATGCAAAAAACTTAAATGGGTAAATAAATTAGTAATTACGCTTTTGGCAATCTAACTTAGGTCTAATTTAAAAATAAGCCAATAATGTTCATGACAACTTTTTAAGAGATCTCTGTTAATATTTTAAACTTAATTTTAAAACTAATAATGTCCTAAAAAGGCACTGTTTTTACAGTTCATCATGCAGTAAATTTGTCACATTTTTGAAAATTACAATTTCCTTGTCAATCAATTGTCCCAAGTAAAGCACATTTAAATGAAATATTTCAACTAGCCTGAACATTCAACATTTAACTGAGTCCTATTTTCAGAAATTTACTTTTTAAAATACACCACACACAAATCCAAGTGAAAACAAGTACATGTATACTCACGTACACACATGCACGTAAGTGCACACACAGATGCCCAAATGACCACATAATACATGCAAGGTTCTTCAATTACTATTTCAAGACAATGACACACAAGTATTCAAGGAGGTAACAATGGCAAGCCATAATATTATGGCACCTTCATATTTGTGCTCCAAATAACAATATACATTAAAATTCAAAAACAAAAAAGGCACAAATATAGTGTTTCCATATCTGAATCTAAAGGACAGTTTTCCAATGGCTATTTTTGTAATATGTAACATTTAAAACCAGTCACCACTTTTCTAAGGAAATGTTCTGTTTTAGGTGACAAAAGGGAAATAGGAGCAGGCTGATAATCAAAAGGCAAGACTGCTCTGGCCAGAATCTGTGCCTACTGAAAACAAATGTATTTTAAAAATAAAAATAAAAAAAGGCTATTTGAACACTCATGTCAGAATACATTAACAGTTTTTTTTTTATCACTGCCTCAAGAATCCACAATACCAAAAATATACATAATAAATAAAAAAAAATAAATCAACTACCATATGATTCTGTTAGTATAAAGGTAGGCATTATATTATCTGAAAAGTGGACATTTCTAAAAACGTGGATATTCTTACAGCACAGTGTTTGACGTTTTTGGTACAAAATGTGCTACCAAACTTTAAAAAAAAATCTTTATAATAAAATCCTTAAGATTTGCAATAAACATGTAAAACAAGTAAGAGCAAGTTGAAATGTTCATTATATGATGTTATTATTGAAGTCACTATGGTTAGAAATGTAGATTCAAGCAGTGAATTAATTCACAATGTGCCTGTGTGCATTTGCTATAAATGGGTATACCAGTATTTTTCCCACATAACAACAAAATTCTATAGCCTGAGGAAGGAATTTTTGTTTTCTTTTAAGACTCCAAGAAATTTAAATTAAAATCTTAGTGTATAGGTATGTGTTTTTCTTAAATTGTACATTATAAATTAATGAATGCAATCTTATGGTGAAGTTAAGGAAGTATGTTTTAGCTCGCTATAGTACTGTTTCACAGGATGGAGTACATTAACATGTAAGATTCTTCTATCCCAAGGGATTTTTCTAATTTCAAATTTAACACAACAAATTCTCAATGAAACTACACAGAAAGACATGAAGATATCTGAAAAGATCATCTTTTTAAACTTGTTGGTCATGGATAACAAGCACATATTTGACAGTGATGTTCAATGTAAATATGAAACACTCTTGATATGTTAGAATTGCTTCAGTAAATACCTAACAAAGAGATAACAAAAAAATCTATTTTAAAACCTCAGGTTTAATTTTTTTTTTCCTTTTGTCCTAAATTCAAAAACTAAAATTATACAAATTTTAATCTGGAGAATAAAGTTATATGCAAATATATAGGTATATGCATTTTTTTCCAGTGACACACTTTTCCTCTTGTAGTCAAATAGAAATTTCGCCTAAGAAGCATACTGTCAGTGTTACAGGAAACCAGATGCAGTGACTTGACACTGATAGCTCCTACTTCTCCAGGATAATGCACCAGAACAGATCTCCATTGTGAACAGCTTTCAAGCATTGAACATGGGTATGTGTTTAAAGCTAAAATTCACGTAAATTAAAGAGCTGGCCCATAAAAAGCAGTTTATAAATAGTTTATCCTGTTCACATTATGCAGAATTTCATTATCATCCACAATGTTAGTATAGTAACTGACAGAAAGAAGAAAGATAGGGGAGGAAAAAAGGTTGAGTATGGCCTGATATATTTCTAAGGGTTCTCTCCTTTAGTTTGCAATTAATATCAGTTCATTATTTTTAGAAGGAGAGTAGACTACTGTCCAGGATACATTAAGTGTTCAGGTCCTTCTCCGAAGTGTGATAAAACAGGAATAAATTCAATAATGAATATCTGAAATTGAAACCAATTTAACTATATGAAGAGTATCTTATCTATTATCACAAACATCCCAGTTGCTTCCATCTGTCTTAAAAAATGCTTTCCAAAGTTACTACACAATTATACCTTATTAATTCCATCAAAAGCAAAAAAATATATGTACCATTCAGCATACAAAAGTTACACATTAAAAAGTGCATATATATTTTCTTAATTGGCCCACTAGTTAAATTTACATTTGGTCAGCCTTACTTTTAACATGTACAGAATTCTTCATATAAATGTAGGTCACTATAATTAAAAAAAAATAATAATTCAGCATAAAACATGCTTTCTTCTTATTGAAATCTTAACCTTCAATCATTGTAAACTTGGATAAATCCACAAAGAAACACAAGCAAAGGTTTGTTATGCTTCTCTTAGTTTGTTGAACAGTTAACATATTAACATCACAAATTTTACTAAAAATTTGGGCCAACTCATTGCATATTTGCCCCCTGAAATAAAAAATAAATTGGAATTGAAGCAGTGTATTGCCATAATTTACCTTGAAGGTAAGTGGGTTCTCCTCTATATAGAACTTAGACTGGGGACATTACCAAATATCTCCAATACAAGTGCTTTTAAGGAAACTTAGTTTTAAACTTCGAGATCGCGTAGCACAAACCCTATGAAATTTTGCTGTTCTCAAGCTAATGGAAGATCCTTTTGAAACTTAATATCTTCAGTTATCAGTATTACTGCATTATGGAGCTAGTGCAATCCTGCATAGCCTTGGTCAAAATGACAAGGCACAATAAAAAAATTAAAGTATTATATGAACAAGAGAAGTCATTGGAGATAATTTAAGGCCTTGAAGTGAATTAGAGTATAGTCAGTATAATTTAAAGCTGAAGAATAAACCATAAATTATCCACCTGAAATACAAGCAATATGTTTTCAGCTTCTGTTCTGTGGACAAGACAACAGAAACAACTCTTGCTTATGGTTTGTCTATTAGAATCCTTCTGGACCTGGAGGAATAAAAGTCAATTCCATTTTTCTACAGTTCATGGAAGATTTCAGGACTGTTTTAGCCGTTTGCGTGGAATGCCAAACTGTGGACACTGTGCAGAAGCTAGTGCTCGGAACGCTTCTGCTACTAAATGAGGGTGAGACTGAATCATGGACTTCCACCCTGATGTTTCCATTATGTCTGTTGCTTGGCTGAAAAATAAAATTAAGAGATGTTTATTAAAGAGAATTTTCAAAATGCATCACTGCATTGTCAATTTATTTTAATTTATGGATTTCAAAGTGTTTTGAACACTTTGCCTCTATTCAAACTATATGAATTCATTAAAATAATTTTTATCTTACTAATATTTTCTATTGCAACTGAAAATACTAAATTTTTCTAGAAGTTCTACTCTCCTGAAGTATGTGACACTTGTTCCCATAGTCCTGCTCTCATAGTTACCATTTCTATACCAGCTCTTTCAAGAGTTCTTTTCCCTGACTTATGCTCAGGTTTTCTCTAGAGTTCCAACTTTTGCCCTCTGCTCTTCTCCCTTTAACATTCATTATTCATCCTATCTCATTCGCTCTTCACAATTTTAGCTATCATATTCAATGATGACAACTACTGATTTGGATTTAGCAAATCCTAACCCTTCCATGAGATTCATTCCCAACCACTTGCTCTTTACTTAGATGTGCTTCAAATCTCATAACTTCAAGATTGTTACATAAGAATTCAACATATTTCTCAAGCTCCAAATTCTTCCTCCCTCATTTCCAATCGGCTAATGCTTTCACTATAACCCAGTGATTCAAGTCAGAAACCTGGGAGTCATCCTAAACCCTGTCCTTTCTAGTCAATCAAAGCCCTATTTTAATTCCCAGATACCTTGAATCCCTAGTTAAGGCCCACATCATCTCACATATCGATTATTACAACAGTCTCCTAATTTGTCTTCTAGTCTCCTATATTGCTCCTCTCAAACCAGCTTCTATGCTGCCTTAGTAACATAAGTATGACTGCATCAGATCCTCTTCTATTATTCCCCAGTGCCTGTATCCAAGCTCTTTAGAAAGAGAAACAGGTTTTCTACTTCATCTCTCTAGCTTTCCACCTCCCACTTCCATGCCCTGGCATTTTGTATATTGATACCAAACTGCTTATTGTAACCTATGAACAAAATACTCACACTGAGCAGTGAGAGTAAATACTTAATTGCTAAAACAACAAATCTCATTATCCTTCCTTGTCTCCTGTCTTTTCTCTCTTGTACCAACCCAACATCCAAATAATAAACAAATATTATAGACTGCTCCTTCAAAATACTATATCCTTTTGTCTTTCTCTAGTCCCTCTGTCACCAGTCAAATAATATCACATTTCCTCTCTTGCCTGAACTACAATAACTTTCCAACTGGTCTACGTATTATTTAACCTTGCTCCTCAACTACCACACCACCTCAACCTCCCCACGATGTATTTTCTAGCCTGCATTCAGAAAGAATGTGCTAAAAACACAAATCTGATCGGGCCGTACCCTAGCTTAAAACCTTTTACTGGATATCCTTTGTCTTTGAATAATGTTTAAAAAAGCCCTAATGTTGTTTACGTGGTTTTCCAGAATATGATTCCTGCCTGCTTTCTCCAGTTTCTTCTCATAACCTCTCCACTCTATACTGGTCTTTCCTATCACCAAAACTTTGCATACCTGATTCTTTTTCTGGGATATACTTTTCACCTTACCCTCTTCTTCACCAGGGTACTAAACCTACTAAAGCTTCACCACCTACTAAAGCTTCAGACCTTTTACTTATACAACAATTCCTCAGAAAGGTTTTCTCTGACCTCTAGATTAGGTTAGGTTCCTTTGCTATATACTCGGATGGGCATGCTATACTTGACCTATCATACTTTATTTAATTAAACAACTATTTGTTTAATTCCTATTTATCTCCTATTAAATTATAAATTCCACAGAGCGAGGGAAAAGATCTGCCATGTTCACCATTATATTCTTGATACTAAGCCCAGTGGGTTGGGTATTTACTAGATAATAAATATAAATATCTGTGAAATAATCAACTACTTGCTTCATGCTTCTATGCTTTGATTCAAGCTATTCTTTCTGTTTGTAATGCCTGTTATTTCCTTCTTAGTTCTGCTAATTCCTGCTCATGTTTTAAAATAGCTCAGTCAGCCATCGCCAGGAAGCCAACCTTCAACTTCCAGGCTGTGTCGAGTACCCTACACATACTCTCCTTTATCACATTGCTTATCATATTATAATAAAAGGATATGCTCGTGTATATGTTTCTTTCATTAGATAAATTTCTCAAGAACAAGGATCTTTCCTTGTTACCATTTTTATAGGCAGTACCCTAGTATGGTATTTGAGACACATCATTTACTAGGGTAAATAAATGTTTGTTGGACTATACAGTAGCTAATAATAAAACAGCTTTTTTATTTGCCTGACTTCAAATTACCAGTATGTCATTTTGTTTATACTTTCAACTAGTTGTTTAAATCACACAGACATCTCTTAATATACCTAACATTTTCATTTATTTAATTCAACAAATATCTATGGAACATCTGTACATAAGGCAGCTCCTTTGGGAGATATAAAATAAGCTGATGTTTTTTGACACTGAAGTTATACAATGTAAAATATTTTCTTAACAGAATAAAACGTTTACGTGGTGTTAAGAAAATAAAGTGGCTAAGTACAAAGGATCACAAAACTGTCTTTTGCTAATACATTATATTTTAAATTTAAATTGTTTTTTTTCTAGGATCACATACATGATGATAATGTATTATGATACACTGACCAATATATAGAACACCCAATAACTTAAAAGTAGTCACTAATTTTTACTTTCAGAAAAGAGAATTCACAAACTGATAGAAATTCACAATCAACTTCACATATACCAAAATGGATGAAAGCAATGGGAAATAAACATTCATTCTATTGTATCTAGCACTGTCTTTTTTGACTTTCTTATATCAATTTTTGATAATCTGCATAAAATGGAATTTAAGAGTTTACAAGCAAAAACTAATCAAAAGGAGGTGCAAATTCTTCAACCTACTGACTACCCCTTTTGATTTTAAATAATTACAATGAGTAGAAAAGTCTCTAAAAATGAGAGAAAACAAAGAAGGGAATAATAAGTTCCAAGAGTTCATATTCAGAAGGCCCAGGCTGAGAAAGATGTTAACAACTATGCCATCTCTTACAGTTTTACCAGAGACAAGTAAAGATTGAATTGCTCCCATTTTTGAAATATTAGGCAGCTAGCCTGATATAGCATTTGATGCAAGGTACTTGGCTAACCTAAAAAGCAATGGGTTAGCATTCAAATGTAAAGACTTTGTAGGCAAATTTAGAGGGTACATTAATCATAGGATCAAAATAAATATTTTCCGTAATTTTAGAAATGCTTTCTGAAGAGACAGAGAAAGGATCTCTATTAGCCATTGAAATGTTTGGACTCAGCTATACAGTTAGTGAGCATATGTGCTTAAGAAATTAGAGCATCCATCCCAGTTCACATTAGCAACTGATTTCAAGAGAGCATAGCCTCAAGAATCTACTAAGTAGCCAAAACATTATTTTTTAAATAACCAGCAGTTTGCTTCTGGTTTTGTATTTATTGTAGATGAACAAAAGGCTATGCAGACAATTTCATGTAAGCAGATCAACTTTAAGTTAGAAACTGATGTCAGCTTACTTGCTGTTCCAGTTTTTCCCATCTTTACACCCAAGCTGTCGAAGTACACTGCACCTGCATTGAAGATTTAAACACACTTAAAAAAAAGTCTGGTGAAAAAAAGAGTTGAAGGTGTCATGCCCACTGAAATACAGATGTAGCTTACCTATTAATGAAGTCTATGGCTTGTGCTTTCAACTGTTCTGCACTGTGCAAATCTGCAAGGACAAGGGTATCAGCAACATTTTCTACTGAGAGGTTACTACACAAAGCTTCTTCACACATGACCTTCAGCCGTTCCAGTGCATACTACCCAAAAGGAAAACATAACCATTAAACATTAATTCAAACTACCAAGTTTTAAATACATAATACTTGTGACTTAGAAAATAAAGTTAAAGCATATTATACTTTGAATTGAGGGTACTTTGAAAGTTTCAAATTATTTTTAACCTATATGAAGAAAATATTAATATAATCAAGAAATACAAATTTTCTTTAGGATTTCAATGTGCATAAGTAGAAATATACAGTATTTTTAAAATAGGACTATATTCTTAAAAAAAAACCCTTATTACTCAATACTCTTTTAATGAGTATATTTCTCTTCTCTATTTTGAATATAAGTATACCATCAGTACACTGCATGGTGTTACAACTCAACCTTGAAGAATTATAAAACTGAACAAATCATATTCATAACCATTAAAAATCCTTAGTATATGTTATTATAACATCTTCAGCAGCTTTATTAAGGTCTAATGGACATACAATAAACTACACATATTTCAAATTTATACTTTATAGCCATATAATCACCATTAAATCAAGATAGTGAACATATTCATCAACTCCAAGGTTTCCTCCTATTCCTTTGTAATCCTCCTTTCTCAACCGACCCCAATATATGCTTTCTACTGCTATAGTTTGCATTTTCTGAAGTCTTCTATAATTGAAATCATATAATTTGTACTCATTTTTGTCTGGCTTCTTCGACTCAGTACAATTATTATCAAGATTCATGCATGTTGTTGCCTGTGTATCAACAGTTCAATGTTTTTTACTGCTGAGTAGTATTTCATTATATATAGATGAACCACATTGTATTTATCCATTCAACTGTTAATGAACATTTGGGTGTTCCCAGTTTCTTAGCTATTACAAATAAAGTTTATATAAACTTTCATGTATAAGTCATTGTATGGGCACATGCTTTTTTTTTTTTTTTTTGAGTAAAAACCTAAAAGTGGATCACTGAATCATATGGCAAGTGTAAAACTTTTTTAAAAAACTGATGAACAGTCTTTCAAAGTGGTTGCACCATTTTATAATCCCAACAGTAGTGTAGGAGAGTCCTAATTCGTCCACATCCTTGACCATACTTAGTATGGTCTTTGTGATTTTAGCTATTATAATGTGTATGTAGAAATACTTGTGATAGTTTTAACTTACATTTCCCTAATGACTAATGATGCTGAGTATCTTCTGATATACTTGAATGATGTTATTTCAAGCAATGTCTATTTAAATATTTTCTCTATTTTTAGAAATAACATTGCTTTCGTAAAATTGAACTTTTCTTGTTTTGTTTTTATTTTCAATTACAGTTGGCATTCAATATTATTTATATTAGTTTGAGGTGTAGAGCATAGTGGCTAGACATTTATGTAATTTACAAAATGAAACCCTCAATTAGCCTCGTACCCACCTGGCACTATACATAGTTATTACAATACCTATAATTGAGTTTTGATTGTTCTTTATATAGTCTGAATACAAACGCCTTTTATCAGATATATTCTGGACAAAAGCTGTTTATCGAATATATGCTTTGCAAATATTTTCTCCCAGTCTGTGGCTAGCCTTTTTATTCTTCTGTGTCTTTAAAGAAAAAAAGTTTTGAATTTTATTGAAGTCCAATTATCAACTTTTTCTTTTATGTATTATGTTTTTAGTATCATAGCTAAGAAGTCTTTGCCTAACACAAGATCATGAAGACTTTCTCCTATGTTTTCTTTTAGAAGTTTTTAGGTTAGGTTTATAACTCATTTTACATTATTTTTCATACATGGCATGAAGCTCATACACAAAGTTTATTCTTTCATTCAATGAAAGTTCATTTTGGGTGGCATATGGGTATCTGATTGTTCCAGCACCACTTATTGAAAAGATTATCCTTTCTCCACTGAGCTGTCCTTGCACTTTTATTAAAAATTAGATACCCATGTACATGACAGTCTATTTCTCTACTCTCTATTCTGTCCAAATGAGTGATTTTTCCATCTTCTCACCAATGCAACAATGCCTGAAATACTGAAGCATTATAATAAGTCTTGTTATCAGACAGTGTTAGCCCTCCACTTTGATCTTCTTTTTCAGTTATTTGATTATAGGTCCTTGCACTTACAAATAAATTTTAAACCAGCTTGTCAATTTCCTAAATAAATAAATAAATGAATAAATAAATAAATAGATAAAGCCTGCTAGAACATGTTGGTTCTACTAATCAATTTTAAGAACTGAAATTTTAATACTGAGACTTCTAATCCATAAATAAGATTTATCTCAATTTATTTAGGTACCCTTGAATTTCACTTAGCAATATTATAATTTTCAGCATATACATCTTGAACATTTTTTGTGATTTAATATTTTTGATGCTACTGTAAGTGGCATTTTTAAATTTAAATTTTTATTGAGATAGTTATAGATTCGTGTGCAGTTGTAAGACTAGATTCTCTATACATTTGGCCCAGTTTCCCCCAATGTTAACATTTTGCAAAACAAGTACAATATCACTATATATACACACACACACACACATATATCTGTGTATATATGTGTATATACACACATATACATATGTATATGCATGTACATGGATGAAAGTGGCATGACATCAATACTCTTGAAGAAAGCTTCCAATGTGCCTTTAGAATTGAAAACAACTGGTTTCAAGATTTTTCTTTGATGTCATTTCCTTATCCTACAAAAATCACCATCATAAAAGAGCATTATAAAACTGACATTGTTTTCTTCTCCTTCCATGCTATCACATTAAAAAACATATCTATGAGTATAGAGAATTAAACCAGACAAAATACCCAATATTTCCTTCTTTCTTTAATCAGAAGTCAGACACTGTATCTTTTTAAAACTTAAGGATATCTATAAATTGCAGTAACTTATATATGCTATTATGTGTGTGTTCTTAACAACCAGAATAAAGATACACTCAAAACTATTGAGTTTACAGTTTAATCTCCCATAAAAAATTCACTTTCTTTCATATACTGGCTCAAGATATTTTTTTGTCTTACTGATTTAAAAAAAATCTCATTTCCATATTATCCCACTGTATGCTATTTAACAATACTCTCAAGAGCCATTTACAAATAGTACAAAGTAATTCAACACATTAAGTTATTTGGGGTTTTCAATTGATGGTGGCTTTCTAGATACATCAAAAGCTTGAGGACATTTTTCAGATGTTTAAGACCTAATTACTTACTTTGTCTGCAGCTGCCAACAAGTTGTCAGCCATTTTGTCAAGGTTTGGTGCTTTCCCTGTGTAAATGAATCTCATCATTTCTTTAAAAACCTCAGGGTCTACATCGTTTATTTCCACTCGATTCTGATAATGAAAACACACAAAAAAGTTATACTTAAAAAACATACACCAATGAACCAAGGGGAAGCTTTGACAGTAATTTAAAAGCCCCAAATCTATACTCAAGTACTGTACAACTCAAATATATATTAAACTATATTTTAAAATTAAAGTAAGTAAACCTTCAGTAAGCTAAGCAGGCAAAATGAGACAGGCAGGTGTAAGAGGAGAAGTATACCCAGCCAAGCACTACCATGTAGGAATATAAAGCCCAATTTCTCATTAAAAAGAATAAAACAAACCAAATATCTGTAGGCCAAACAAAATACATCTGTGTTCAGTTTCTGATCTCTATCTTAGAGGAAAAGGTCTACTAACTTTTTCTTTGCTGAATTCTTAAGCCTCCTAAGATTCTATAACCAATGGTACTGTTGCCAGCTATAAACAAAAGAAGGGTCAGGTATATGAGATGATTCCAGAGCCCACTAAACTTATCTATGGGCACCTTACCTCTCTGCTCGATATATATATACTCAAGTCCAAAGAGGACAGTTCCTTTTTCACTCCTCTATCTTCATAAATTTGGTATCGCTCTTGGGATCAATTAGCTAAATATCTAACACTAAACAATACCAAACTTTTCTGATCCTTTGCTTGCAACAGCACTCGACATCATTGTTATTTCCTTACTTGGATGTGATCAGAAGGCTGATCACAGTACCTGCCCAGACCAATAATCAAAAGAAAAAAAGCAGCTATTTTGTTGCAGCCTCTAGTTTTGTAGAAAGAATAAAGTTGAGCCACATAAACTCTGGAGCTGTCCAGTTGGAGTACTAAGGAACACATAATACAACTAGCAAACAATCTGTTCTTTAATCTGACAATATTTCAAGATGACAAGTGACACAGAAACATCTGGGAAAACCAAATAGGTAATATCTTAAGTACAGTTAATATATAATAATGTAATTTATGTCTCTTTTGTTAAATATGATAATATCCTCTTATTTTAGTGGTAAAAAGAATGTAGACATTATTTGTGTTCTAGAAAACAAATTCCAAAATCAATTCATAAAGCCTAGAAAGGAGAAATATATACCTTCACCAGAGAACTCTCAAATAGCTGTGGACCAGAACAGTTCTTTGGACAACTTACCCTCCTGGATAACCACTATCCATTTATTTTCATACCAAATGGGAATTAAAACAGCTGTTATCTGGAATATTCAACCACATTGGGTTACATCTACGGTTCTACTATGAAACATTTTTCCCATCTATTTCTTTCTAAAATCACAGTATAGTAAAAAAGAACATGGACCGTTACTTTTAAAATATACACCCACTATACTACATTTGTACAAATTCAATATTAGCCTTTAAACCATGTTTACCTTTTTGCTTTCTTCCATTTCGTGTTCAAACATTGCATTAAAAACTGGGGATCGAGCTGTAACAAGATTAAGCATCATTATTTAATGCACAAATTTATGAAAGAAATGTACTATATTACCCAAAAGTAGAAAGTACCTGCAAGTACAGATTTATGAGCTTTAAATTCTTGTCCTCTCACAAAAAAACTGCAATCTGTAAATCTTGTGTTTTCCCAGAGATTACCTAAATCTTCTGCTAGTCGACATTCAGGCACCTTCAAAGTATTGGTATTAGTATGCCCTGATATATTTACTGAATCTTGGACCACACTCACCTAATAAAAAAGGGACAGTAAGAAAAACACTTTTATAATTTACAATAATTAGTTACTAAGACTATACTTAAATTTCTTATCATTAAAATCATTTGAATGATTCAATGTAATCCTAATCAAAAATGCTAATACTCTGAGAACTGAATTTAAGGATACAATTTAAAGAAGAGAATATAAAAAAAAAAAAATCTGAAAAAATTAGAACATTTTCAAGTGACACTATGTAAATAAATGGCTTATCAACTCATTAGAATGTTTCATTATTGAAATAATTATAAAAATTATTTTTCAACAAGAAATGTCATAATATGATGTCAAAATTCAAACAAGGAGAAGATATTTTTGTGAAGTGGAGTGACTTAAAGTTTATTATACATACAGTAAACAGAATTACAATCATAATGACTTTTTACAGTATTAAAAAAGGTTGTAAAACTACGGTCTACAATATGCAATTTGGGAAGTATTTTAAGTGCTATTCCTACATGTTTCAACTCTAGCAAAATTGATTTAAATATCTAGTTAAATTGATTTTAAAATATAAGAATTCTCACAAAAGCAACTATAGTTATTAAAGTTCATGGGAACTTTTATTTTAAAAAGACAGTAAGAAAAATACAAATTTAATTTGATTTTCAGACCTTTTTCTTACCTGCTAACTACTCAGTAAGTGAAAGTTGATATAATTATAACATTGCCTTTATACAGGCTCTAAAATAATATGGATTAAAATATCTCATTAAAGATGACCACTATCTACTAAGTCTTGCATACCACTTATGAGAAAATGTACTCTTCTACTAGAAATTTCACATTTAATAAATTGAAGAAAATTCATCAAGCGCATGTTTCAAAGTAAATGAACCATTTTCTACAGAAGTGTTATATTAGTTACCTATTGTTTTAAGCTATAAAGTTTTATTTCCTATACAGCAATAACTATGTTCATTTAAAAACATATTTCACAGGCTTTCTTAAATAAAAGTAGGTATAAATAAAGACATGTAAAAATACAGTAAACTATGTAGAAAATATAAATTAAAAATGGAAATATTGGACTAAACTACTACCATGCTAAAACAGAAAGTATAATAATGGTCCAGTATAAAATCTTTTGAGAATATTAAATCTCAGAAGTCCTCATTCATCCAGATGTATAAATATGTATCTCATATAAATGAATGTATATTTATAAAGGAAAATTTTATTTTCTGAGGGTATTTTTATTAATCACTGTTTTCCCAACTTGCATTATTAAATACCTTTTAGAATCATGTGTCATAGAAATTATCTAATCCAATCATCTTATTTTGTGGAAATTTTTGAAGTGAGATCAAGAGAAGGTAACTAAGGTGTCCCCTATCACACTGCTGATCAGTATCAGAGGAGGTCTAGACCTACGTTCTCAGATTCCTTTTTTTCATAGCACTCTTTGTACTACATATTTCCGATTTTTTTTTTAAATTAGTAGTACGTTAATGCAACTACGATTCGAAAAGGATTTATCACAACAATCTTATGAGATGTTTTTCTAAATACAAGAGCCAAAATACTGTGTACATAAATATAAAGATTCTCTTATTCTATTAAGTTTTTAATTATTCAAATGGTTTCTAAAATTTTGATAACTATAAAACAGATAAAAGACTTGACTAATTCTTACTTGATTGCCCTGTTACACCATATACTATGATTTAATGATACATAAACCAAATATGTTAATGTTAATATTCAGGGTTTAGTTAGGGATTTTTTTTTTTCTTTTTTTAATCACAAAACCAGTATGTGTTCATAACAAGCGTTTCTCTTGAAGTTTTTAGACAGCAGGAACTGGATCAGTTCAATTACTTATATAAAGTATGCAGTGGAGTTATAAAAATGTGATGATATATTTAATTTAGAAATGGATTTCTTAAATTCTATTTATTGTCTATTATCCTAACTCAAAATAGTACATTTAATGCAAAAATCTAGTAAGAAATAAAAGCGTCAAAAAATAAAGCCATTATTATCAGGCATAGATAGTGATGATGTTACATTTGTATTTTGTATATGTAATCATAATTCAGGAGAATTCATTATTGACATACACATCTACATAGTATTGTTATAGCAACCACAAACTGACATTTCAGACTGTAAAGTGCATTCGAGGGACTATGTAGAGAGCAGAAGTTAATGATCTAATTAAAAATTGATATGTAAGAAATTCTGATAATTATAGTTATAAGAAATTGGTAAAATTTTAGCTTTTTTTTAGTACATATTCTCAAATACAAGTAATGAACATTCTTACTGAATGGAACCTAGAGTAAAAAATTCAGAAAAAAGGCTGAGATTCTTTCCTGAGGTTACACTATTGTTCTTTCAAAATACAAAGGCACATGCATTATACTCAAAATTGACAAATGCTGCAAAGCAAAATCTCAAACTCATTTGACAGCCCTTCTACAAATATGCTCTTGAATCAACTCTTAGAATACAATTTAGATTAAAGATGGAAATGTGCAGGTTCTAATCAACTGTAACTATTCTGGAATCTCAGTCTCCTCTAGCGTGGAATTAAGGTGATGACTGGTTCCAATGTTTAAAAATCTCAATACTCCAACTTCATTCTGAAAGCTAGGAATTTACAAAGGTATGTGGTACTACAAATTTTGCTACTTTAATTAACTACCTAGCCACCCCTCACACTGGCTCCAAAGTGAGAAACTTTTAACAGTACAATTTCACAACGTCTTATAGAATAGTGGGTCTCTGACTTTTTGATTTTCATAGATAAGTATCCATTTTTTTTTTCTTTAATTTGAGTTATAGAAATAGGGTTGCCAACTTTTCATTTTGCTATGAAAAGGCTTTCTGGAGAATAAAACTCAACTTCCATTCATTATCACGAATATTTTAAAACAGAAAAAATATCCTAGCAACAGAAAAACAACCAAAAAAGTATCTTTCCAAATGAAATTTTTACTTTTATAAAAAAAAAAAATTGTTATGTATATATTCTACGTTACGTGTGTGTGTGTGTGTGTGTGTACACAGATATATAATTTTTTTTTTCTGTATATCATGGAATGGCATGGATTTTAAAAGATAAATTAATCTAACTGATTTTGTTTTTCTTACTTATTCCTCTATTCCTGTCTTCTGTATCATTTGGAGAGAGAAGAGGCAGAGCTGTTTACACAGCTAAAAATCTCTACCTCTGGCTACTTGATTCATAGTATGAAACTTGCAAGATTAAGTTATGTCTTGCATAAAAAGGGTAGCACCAAACTGCCTTACCTGTCTACAGCACCACTTGCAGGGGAGGGGGAGGAGGCAGTTCTGTACGTAGAGCAGTGCAATGCTTCCTCCTCTTCTGCAAGCAGTGCTGGAGATGCTGTAGAAGGAAGGGCATCAATGAGAGGTACGGAAGAAATGGTGGAGGGCATGAGGAATGTCTGTTCAAAGTACTTTTTGCCTGCCTATGCCAAATACGATGCCCAGGGTATAAATGTCTACATCAATAAAAAGGTACACATTACAGTATGCAAAACTGAATCTGATCAATGGTAACTTAAAATGTATGTCATGGTGGGTTCTATTTTAAGGTCATTAGCATGTATAATCTAGCATCTAGATGAAAAGTATACTTCAAAAATATGTATCAAAAAAAATCTTAATTTCAGCCTTCATTCTGAATTTCTTGGTTGTCTAGGTTCAAATTCAATATGCTTAGGAAAATATATGTAAATAATATTTCAACTGTAAAAAAAGAAATGTTATCTAAAAAGTTGATTCACAAAAAGACTTAGCTACAGTTGTTTTAAATGGAGTACATAGCTTTTTAAGGTCCTTTAAATCCTATGACTACAAGATTTTTAAAAATTAACATGCTGAAATTTAAGATAACTGCTAAAATTCTGGGAAATTCTATATTAAGGATGCTAAAATTTTAAAATAATATGACCTATATTAATTTAGAATACTACTTAAAATATGCTTGGTTTATTTTTTAAAATTATTTAATGATAAGCCCTGTTCAAGACACTTGTGGTATGTGCTTTATCAACCAAATAGTTGTATTCATAACAAATTCATCATACAGTTCATTTAACTTGTCTAAGTGAAAATAAGATGCACTATATTTACGCTACGTAGTCTCCAGGGCCATATTTCAATTATTCTTCTGACATAGCATAATGACATACAATTAATGTGTAATCTTGCAAATAAATTTTACAGAATTTCTATAAAGAATTTAAAGCTAACTTAGTAGCAGTTAAGTCATCAAGCTTCCAAGACACTCCACTCCTCCATCTACAATAACCTACCAAAACTTAACATTGGGTTTACTTGATCATAACCTTTTCAACTGGCTTTCCTATGAAAATTATCAACTACATTAAATGTTTTTGATAAAACTATGTTGCTGATGAATATTTTTTACAAACTGTACTGGTAATACAACGTAACCCTTGAATTCACTCCAAAGATGAATCTCAACAATGCCTATAGATAAAACTACATAATGATAACAAAGACAGAAGCAATTAGACAGAAAATCCTAATCTCAAAGCAATAAGTGTAAATTATTGGCAGAAGCAATGCTGGTAACTTTGAGAATATGGTATTTTATGCATATAAATCAACCTCATAAGTTTTTCTGCACAACTGGGCATACTTAAAAATTTGAGATACTATTGCTTATAATGTTAACATCATTTGATTAAATGAAACAAACTATTTGAACGAATAAAAAGCTTCCCAATCTTTCCCAGGCTCTTTGTTGTTAAAGTATGGATTCAAACTGATAAACTACTAATAATGATTAACATAATCAATCTGAATATGACAAAAAATACTGACCATTTATGTTAGAATTATTCAGAATGATAATATTTAAAATTTTCATATAAAGATATACACATCCATAGTCTTCCTAATAGGAAAAAATATTTAATATGTGTTAGTATAACTGCATATATAATCTATAATGAGAGGTAGCCAAATTTTTCATAGTGGGCCAATATGTCGATGGCTAAGACAATCTAGTCAGTATTTACAAATGAAATGTTATAATTATACTAATTATAAATTTTTATAGTATGCCCAGTATTGTTGTAGTTTACATTTTTGCTCTGTCACTAAGTACAACCATGGAGTTCCTTGAAATAAAAAATGTACCCACCTCACAAAATAATGTAAGCTTGTCATCTGGTAAAAGACCATTAGTTTCATCAAGTAAAAAATCCCTTCGAATGAATTTTTTAAAACCCCAGTCCTTCCCTTGTACAAATCGATATGCTCTTTGGCTTTCTGGTGGGAAACAGAATAAAAGTTTAAATAAAACAAGTACCCAATAAACATTCTTTATAATGATAACATAGTTAAATGAATATGCAAAAATAGAACTTGGTCAATACATCCATCATAAAAACTGCAGGTATTTGTGTTCATAAATAAAATGCTGTAAGAGGAGTTATATCAGGTAGAACCAGATCATTCCACAGCGCTAATTAAATTTGGACATCAAATAAGCTCACTTTCAAATTTCTGAATCTCTACGTAGAAAAAAAGCCAGATCAAATCTCATAGAGAAGATCTAGACCCTATAATAATAAAATAGAATCAAAATACAATGGAATAGGCACACTACTCATCATTTATCAACAGAACCCCGATTAGAAACATACCTCTCATTTCCTGCTTCTCCCTTTAAAAATGGATGCTCCAAATCATCAGGGTACCTTTTAGGCTTTCCTGAGATATCCATCCCACTGACTTAAGTTTTATTAAGCTAGGAAAAAATCCATTAACTGGTAAAAAAGCTAAATACAGTCCCTTATCATCCCTAGGTCTTTAGACATAATCTCCTCACCTCCAAAAACAACTTTCATAAAAGTCCAAAAGTTGTTTTTTAGTATAATTTCTAAAAGATTTAGTAAATAAAGGTCTGAAGTGAATGTTTCAAATGCCTATATAATAGCTGTATTCTATTAAATAAACATGATTTTCTACAGTAAGTATTCACTATCTGTTACATAAAGAATTAACTAGAGGTGGAAATCAGTAGTAAACCTAATGAAATACTTCATGTTATGAACTGAATGTGAGTATCTCATCAAAATTTTTATTTGAAACCACACCTTCCAACATGATGGAATTAAGAGGTCATGAGGGTGGAGCCCTCGTGAATGTGAATGTTGCTCTTATAAAAGAGAGCCCACAAAGCGCCCTAACCACTTCCACTCCATGAAGACACTCAGAAATTAGCAGTCCACCAATTTGTAATCAAGAAAGGACCTTCATGAGAATCTGACCATTGGCACCATTGGACTGTACAGCCTCCAGAACTTTGAGAAATAAATTTGTTGTTTATAAGCCATCCAGTCTATGGTATTTTGTTTTAGCAGCTGGTACTAACACACTCCACAATCTTAAATGTCAGACAATATGAAAATATATGTGAAACTGTTTATTACTTCAGCAATAAAAGATATTTTAAAATGAGTATTTAGAGGAGGTTATTTTCTAACAAAATCACTTGATTCCGTGATTCACTTCACAAAACTTAAAATTTACCATGGCAGGTCACAATATACCGTCCTACTATGCACACTGTATATTTCCTACAATGTTCTTTTATTATGAATTGCCAGGCTACAGCTACATGGTTTCTGCTGGCTATATATGTGAAGCTTGAACTGAATTTAAAGGGTCTTGAGACTAAGAAAATCTGATTTCCTTTCAGTCAATGTTCAGTCTATTGTTCAAAACCAATTCTAGAGACAAAATATCAAGACAATTAATCTCCTTTCACATGCTCTTCAGATTTTATTATCTGGCAAAAACAGCAAGAGAGAAGAGAACTATTTCCTGAACATCTATTATATATGCCAGGGATTGAACCTGGCACCTTGCCCTTAATAGTAACTGTTTTTCCGAGTGACAAATGAATGTTGTTTTAAGACATGAGAAAGTTAAATTTTTATACTATTTTTAAGTAATTTTACACGTCTATGAAGTCTAAGACAGTGTAACAACTATAGCTCCACACTGGCATTTAAAATTAAATAATGGCCAAACTAAATGTTTTAGGTTAAGCAGATTTTAGTGGGAAAAAAATATCCTAAATTTTTCTAGGTAAAAGTGCATAAGTCACAGAATGTAGTTACACAGAGACTTTTTCACTTAGTTTTAAATCACTTACCCATTGCTTTTGTTTCTTCCCTTTTAGCGTTCAGAAGGGAAAATTTGAATTTTGCTCGAACTTCACTTTTTGGGCAGCTTACTAAAAGCAAATATAAGGACAAGTAGTCTTTACTTTCATCATCTAATCCCTTTGGATTTACCCTCAGGCACCTAAAATAAAACAACAGGCTCACATGGAGGAATATAATACTTTAAACATCCAAATAAGAGAGGTAATATTGAAATCATATGTCAATATCCAATCAATATCCCCACAGTTCTTTACAATTCTCTATATTTTTAGGAACTTCTTACAAATCTAATATAAAATAGACTAACATCCATTCAAGAACAATAACAAAATCATAAAATAGCCGAGATAACATCAAAAACAAAACTCAAAAACAAACAAAAATCTTACCATTTCATTTTGTCACTCGGGCTAGATGAGAATGTTGAACTTTTTAACACTTCACCCATTTCTTCTCGACAAAAACTGAAGTTATTAATGGTCCACATGTAGGAAAATTTTACTACTTTAACCTAAGAGATTCAGAAAAACTTTTTTAATGAGGACTTTTATGCTTTTAACCTATCACTTGTTAAATATTCTATGATCTACTCTTCTAACATTTCTAATAACTATGCCAAAGTGCTTCACGATATTCTCAAAATACTATAAAATTTGTAAGTGACATAAAGTAAGGCATTTTCAACAACATGTACCTGTGTATAACACCAGCTTTCTGCTATAGGACCAGTAGACATATCTCCAGGGAGAGGTGGGGTGGGTTCCCGAGACATTGCCACTTTATTGCAGTCTTCCAAGATTTATATGATATCCCACACAGTTGAGTACTTTACTACAAAGAAAAATAATTGCATTTACTGATCAAAAACTTTAACAGACTGAACTGAGGGAAGAAATATTTAAAGAGTCATACAATAATTGCTTTCCCAAATTAGATGGGAACATGCAAGGATTTATTTTTATAAGTTTTAAAAAATAATATCAGTCTTTGCAACATATAGTACTTGAAATCTATATAAACCTAATACCTGTAGATAAGACATTATTTTATAAAGGCAGGCTTACCAAAATAACATAAATCAAAAAATTACGTAGCTTAATATGATCATAAACATAAAATCACAAAATAACATGGAAATCATATTTGATTCACCATCTTTCAGCCTTTCATTGACATATCCACAAAAATCAAAAAGGTTAAAAAGTCAGAACTCTGGAAATTACAAGTATTAGTCACTCATCTATTGAGACCCCAAAGTTTTGAACCAACTGAAACACAGATGGTAATGCTGTGTAAAAAGTATATAGATTTCCACAAAAGTTCAACTCTATCTCAGCAAACAGCTTCTCTGATAAAACTCCATCCTCATCATATTGCTCCCTACCAAATAATTATTTGGTATCATATTATCCAATTTCTCCCCAGTCAGCTGTTCTTAAAAATACATCCATTTGGATACACAATCAATTCCTCATAACCTGGCCAGGACATTAGTAACTATATGATGATGATTTGTAACTTAAAAAGTCTATAAAAGAGGCAAAATACCAAAGAGCTACATAATAAGTAGGGTACTTCGAAGGCGTATAGGTGGGGGTGGCAGTTCAAGATCACATTCCAACATAGGGACTCAAGTCTGAAGAATCTTCTTTTCATTTAAGAATAGTTAATGATGGTAGAAAACCACATGAATCATAAAAAAGAAACTGCTGGGGAGGAAAAAAAGGATTTCATCCGAAATGGAGAAGAAAATAACTGTTCTATGTCTCTCTACTCAATGAAACAATGGTATGAAATGAGAATACTGAAGAAAGCCACCTAAAAGATACATAGAAACAAAAGGACCTATAAAAGGTATGAAAAACTTTAAAACTACAAATGAAGCAGCACATTAAAAATCTGCACTAGACTTGAAGTAGTGCACTCCTGTAGGTGAGCTTTATTGTTTAACCTTGCCCTGGCTCTTGGTAATCTCTCAAACCTTTCTGCTTCTCCAAGCAGCCTATTACATTTTTAATAGTGCCCAGTAGTTAAGTATAGGCCAAGACTCGTCAGTGTCATATAGGCTGATTGGAAGCCAGACTCCCAAACAAAAGCTTTTAAAAGTATGCAAAAATATGTGCGGTCTTGTGGGACCACAAGCATAAACCCCACTATCCCCCAGAGCCAGGTGATCTGAAAGTGTCCCCTGTGTAGCAGTCACAAAAATATGGGCTCGAGATGTGCATATAAGCTCTTTTCTGGGAGATACCAGCAAGCTGGAGTGAGGCATTGGGGAGAGCACCAAGATGGTGTTCACAACCTACATTTTTTGACAGCAGCCGCACAGGACACTAGACATGTACCAAACCTGATGCCTGCCCCTCAGGGCATAGCTCCAGGACAAGAAAAGAGGTCTCTTTCACATAAAGACTGGGGAGGTGTGCCTCAGTCTGCTGTCTATGCAGTGTCCTGAAAGTAGGAGCATTCCACAAACTGTCTCAACTGTCTCAATTGCCATGGTCCCAAGGGACCCAGGAATGCAAACCCTTTTGGCCACCAGAGCCAGATGATCAAGAAGGATCCCCTGGACAGTAGATACAGATACCAGGGCACCAGATGTGTGTGTGTAAAGCTCTCTTCCAGGGAACACTAGCCCAGAAGAGGTAGTTGTTTCATCTACTTCATAGAAACTGGCACGGAAAGTAAAACAAAATGAAGAAACAAAGGAGTATGTTCCAAATGAACAAGATAAAACCACATCAAAAAAAAAAAATTATGAAATGGAAATAAGTAATTTACCTGATAGAGTTAAAAGTAATAGTTATAAAAATGCTCACCAAAGTAGGGAGAAGATTGAAATCACAGAGAATTTCAAGAAAGAGATGGAAAACAAACAAAAAAAGTACTAAACAGAAATCACAGAGCTGAAGAATTCAATAACTGAACTGGAAAATACACTAAAAGAGTTCAACAGCAGACTATGTGAAGCAAATAAAGGATCAGAAACTTGAAGACAAGGCAGTAGAACTCACCCAATCAAATCAACAAAGAAAAAGGAATTTTAAAAAGTAAAGGTAGCTTAAGAAACTTAAGAGACAACATTAAACAAACTAAATTCTCATGATAGGGCTCCCAGAAAGGGGCAGGGAGGGGGGAGAAGAATTCTTATTTGAACTAATAATGGCTGAAAACTTCTCTAAGCCGAGTTAAGAAACAGACAACCAGATACAGGAAGCCTAACAAGTTCCAAAAAAAAAGATGAACTCAAAGGGACCCACACCAAGAAACATTACGATTAAAATGCAAAAAAAGTAGACAAGGAGAGAATCTTAAAAGCAGAAAGAGAAATGCAACTTGTTACATACAAGGGAACCCCCAATAAGACTATAAGCAGATTTTTCAGCAGAAACATTGTTGGCCAGAAGGGAGAGAGGCATGATATACTCAGAGTGCTAAAAGAAAAAATTTCCAACCAAGAATATTCTCTACCCAGCAAAGTTATTGAGAATTAAAGGAGTTTTCCAGACTAGTAAAAGCTAAAAAAAATTTCATCATGATTAAACTAGCCTTTCAAGAAATTTTAAAAGGACTTCTTTAACTGAAAAGAAAGTACATCAATTAGTAACAAGAAAACTTGAAAGAATAAATCTCACCAAAAAGGTAAATACATAGTAAAGGTGGTAGATTAATCACTTATAAACTAGTATGAGGGTTAAAAGACAAAAGTGGTAAAAACTATGATTCCAATAATGAGTTTAGGAAATACACAAAAGGTATAAAATGTAACCCCCCCCCCGCAAAAAAATAAAAATAATAAAATAAAATAAAAAGAGTAGAGGTAAATGTTGAGTTGTAAAATGCTATCAAACTTAAGTTGTTATCAACTTAAAATTGACTGTTATAGATAACAAGTTGTTATATGTAAGCCTCATGATAACCAAAGTAAAACTCTATAGTAAATACACAAAAGATAAAGGAATATAAGTATATCACTAAAGAAACTAATCAAACCACAGAGAGCAAAAGAAACAGAGAGGAACTACAAAAACAGAAAAAGTTAACAAAGTGGCATAAATACATACCTATCAGTAATTACTTTATATGTAAATGGACTAAATTCTCCTATCAAAAGACTGTAGAGAAGCTGAATAGATTAAAAAGAAAAAGACTCATCTATATGTTATAGGAAAAACTTACTTTAGATGTAAGTACGTACCAAGACTAAAAAGTGGAGAGATGAAAAACGATATTCTATGCAAAGGAAACCAAAAGAAAGCTAGGGTAGTTGTACTTTTATCAGACAAAATCGACTTTAAAACAAAGACTGTATTAAGAGACAAAGAAAGGCATTACATGATGATAAAAGGCTCAATATAACAGAATATAACATTTGTAAATATTTATGCAACCAACATAGGAGGATCTAATTATATTAAGCAAACATTGACAGATCCAAAAGGAGAAAAAGAAAGCAATACAATAACAGTAGAGGACTTTAATACTCCAATTACAGTAAACAATAGACCATCTAGGCAGAAAATCAACAAGGAAACATCGGCTTTAATTGACACAAGACTTATGAACTTAACAGATTATATAAAGACCATTCCAATCAAAAGTAACAGAATACACATTCTTCTCAAGTGCACATGGAACATTCTACAGGATAGATCATACATTAGGCTGCAAAAAAAGTCTTAATAAATTTAAAAGGACTGAAATCCTATCAAGCATCTTTTTTGATCGCAATGGTATTAAACGAGAAATCAATTACATGAAAAAAACTGGAAAATTCATATATATGTGGAGATTAAACAATTTGGTACTAAACAACCAGTGAGTCAAAGAAGAAATCAAAAGAGAAATCAAAAATACCTTGAGACAAATGAAAATGGAAATATAACAAACATTTACAGGATGCAGCAAAAGCAGTTCTAAGTGGGAAGTTCAAAGTGATAAACACCTACATCAAGAAACACGAAGTCTCTACCTAAATTTATACCCTGAGGAACTAGAAAAAGAAGAAGAACAAAGCCCAAAGTTAGAAGAAGAAAAGGAATAAGATTAGAAATGAAATAAATGAAATAGGGACTAAAACTAGAAAAAGCACAATGAAAGTAAGAGGTGGATCTTTGAAAATATAAATGTAATTGCCAAACCTTTACCTAGACTCACCAATAAAAAAGGGAGAACTCAAATAAATAAAATCAGAAATGATAGTAGCTATTATAACTGACATGATAGAGACACAAAGGATTATAAGGGACTACTACGACAACAAACTGGATAACCTAGAAGAAAAGGGTAAGTTCCTAGAAACATTCAATCTACCAAGACAATTACAAAGAAATAAAAAACGCTAAACAGACTAATGAGTACTAAGGAGCCTGAATCTGTATGTAGTCAAAAATTTCCCAACAAAAGTCCAGGACCAGATAGCCTCATGGGTGAATTCTACTAAATATTCAGAGAAGAAAAAGAATCTTCTTAAACACTCCCAAAAAACAGATAGACAGAACTCTTCCAAACTCATGTTATGAGACCAGCATTACCCTGATATCAAAACCAGACAAGACTACAAAAAAAAAAAAAAAAAATTACAGGTCAATATCTTTGATGCAAAAATCCTCAACAAATATTAGCAAGCTGAATTCGACAATATATTAAAAGGATCATATACCATGACCAAGTGAGATTTATTCCAGGGATGCAAGAAGGCTGGTTCAACATCTGCAAATCACTCAGTGTGATAAACCAATCAACAAGATGAAGGATAAAAGTCAAATGATC